TAGCACTTCCACCTGGAAGTAGTGGGGTCATTGGTTCGAATCCAACCACGGCACCTCCTGCCTGGAGTTTGCATGTTCTCCCTGTGCCTGTGTGGGTTTCCTCCGGGTACTCCGGCTTCCTCCCACACTCCAAAAAGACATGCTGGTAAGTTAATTGGCTCCTGTCTAAATTGGCCCTAGTATGTGTATGTATGAATGTAAGTTAGGGACCTTAGATTGTACGCCCTTTGAGGGTTAGGGACTGATGTGAATGTACAATATATATGTAAAGCGCTGTGTAAATTGACGGCGCTATATAAGTACCTGAAATAAATAAATAACACCTACCAGGGGGAGACTGAGCTGGGGATGCTACCTCTTCACACAGAGCCTGGAGTTAGGATTAACACCCTGTTCACACCGGTGTGGTCTTTGAAGTCGCACTACTTCAGCACAATTTTAAAGATGCCAGTCAGTGCAACTTCATGTTGCATTGGCAACATTTTTGCAACTTAATTTACATAGATATCAGTGCAAGCCACTAACAGAAATAGTGCAGGAACCTTTTTCACAGTTGCTGCGACTTGAGTCACACCTTTTTTGAATGGCTGCATAGCGGCAAATAGGGTGCGACTTGTCATGCGACTTTAATCTCTCAAGTAGCATGACAAACCAATCCAGTGTGAACTGGGGCTAAAGTAAACTTGCTACTTTTTCTTTTCTTCAGATGTGCTTTAAATTGGTTGACTTATGTATGGATATGATAAACAAAAGGATTTAAATCTGAAGTCTAGGGGCACCCATAAGAAGCATTTTATATCCGTTATAAAATTACTTTTAGTGTTTCACTTAAAAAAAAAAAAAATTGGATGTTAAAAAAAGTCTTCTATATTTTAACGAAATATATTAGTATGTATGTTTGTTATTTATACCGACTTTATTATCCCAAAAATGCAATAAAAAGTAAATTACTATTTTGTGATGTTTTTGTAAGAAAATGTATTGATGACTCGGGTGTTTGTATGGCAGCTGATGGGCTGGGGGGAGTACAGTGCTTCATAGCAAGATTATTAAAAAACAATAATGACCCCCCTCCCACACTGAGTACCTTTGTCTCTAACACTGTCCACTGTGTGAATGTCAGATCAAGACCAGGCAGGAGGAGGAGAAGAAGCAGCTGTGCTCTCTGCGGGACCTGCTCAGGCCTACTCTGCAGGTCGAACCCAAAGAGGTAAAGACCATCCTATGTTTCTAGTGCTTCCTTCTAATTAGGAGCTTTACCTCTTTCCTTTCAAGATGTCCTTCATTTATATTGTTCATCCATTTGAAGTTGTTTTATTTAAGCTGTATATCGATTGGCATTGTTTTTTTCACTTTGATGGTATATCCACCTCCTATATGACTTACAGCCTGGCCATGGGCCGCATCTGTTCTGTGTATGACCTGATGGTCCACCCAACGTATGAGTAGTGGTAGGACAGCACCAATGACTCTGTGAACATGTTTTTGTATGTCAGTATGGTATGGACTGTGTCTCTGTCCAGATTTTTGCTATTAACAGTTGAGGAAAGTGGAAAGGTAATGCTAGACCTGTAGGTTTATTTTACGGGTATTGTTATCTTAAAGGATAAGTACACCTTTCAACAAAAAATAATGCAGGTAAAATTTATTTTTTGTTGTAGGAGCCCGTAAAGCATTGCACCAGCGATCAGCTGATTGCTCCTGCAGAGCTGTCAGTATATCTTCTTGATCATACCTCGCACGGGCAAGCTGATACTTACTGACAGGAAGAATCAATGAACTACCACAGCGCTTACAGTGCCTTGATACTTCACTGAGAACTACAAGCCGGCAGCCACTAAGGCTGTCAAGACTTGTAATTTCTCATTCACAGAACACTGTGAATGAGTGATGCGGCAAAGTGTAGAAAATTTTGACAGCTAGCAAGAGGGAGAAGATCCCCCGCTAGCTGTCAAAACAAGGAAACAGGGACCGGTCATTTCATAACCTGTTATGTGTTACACCGTGAATATTTGTGTAACATGTTATGAAAGGTGAACCTATCCTTTAAGGTAGGGTCTCCAAATTTTCTAATCGAAGGGCCAGTTTACTGTCTTTCAGACTTTAGGGAAGCCGGACTGTGGCCAGTGGGAGAAGAAAATGTCCTGGCATTAGTGGGAGTAAACAATGTCTCAGCATTGGTATTAACGGGAGATATAGTGCCCCATCACCGGCATCAATGTGAGGAATAGTTTCCCATGGTTGGTGCCAGTGAGAGGAATAGTGTCTCGTTGGTGTCAGTGGGAGGAATAGTGTCCCATTGTTGATGTCATTGGGAGGAATAGTGTCCCATTGTTGGTGTCAGTGGGAGGAATAGTGTCCCCTTGTTGGTGTCAGTGGGAGGAATAATGTCCCATTGTTGATGTCATTGGGAGGAATAGTGTCCCATTGTTGGCGTCAGTGGGAGGAATAGTGTCCCATTGTTGGTGTCAGTGGGAAGAATAGTGCCCCATCATTGGTGTCAGTGGAAAGAATAGTGCCCCATCATTGGTGTCAGTGGAAGGAATAGTGCCTCATTATTGGTGTCAGTGGCAGGAACTATACCCCACTGTTGCTGATGGTGGGGGGAGTAATGCCCTAGGGGCCTGATAACAGCAAGAAAAGGGCCACAGTTTGGAGACCACTGCTTTAAGGTATTAATGTTTGTGTAAATGATTTGGTTCCCGGGCAGGGGGCTTCTTCACCCCAGAGGATTTCCACACTCTGCTTGGCTTGTAGTGTAATGAAAAAAGAGTTGAAATTGAAACGCCACACCACTGCTAAGAGGTCGAGATACAACTTTTTTCCATTAAAGGTAAGGGGTACAATTCAAAAAAGCAATCCAGCGTATTTCAGGGGTCTAAGGGCTCCCTTCATCAGGACTTGACTAGCAACAAAATGAACAAACCAGACGTGAACTGGACCTACAATGGTATTATTTTCCAGTGTGAATTGAGGTGATTGTAGCCATATTAGTGCATTTGCGACAGAAACAATTAAGTTGTTGAATTGTGTGAATTGAAAGCACAGCCCTATTCAGCAGCTTGTTTGGCAGCCTTTTTTGCTGTGTCAGTAACGTCCTGACTGTATGTTTTAAGCATGTCAGTATGTTTCTGATTGTGTCTCTGTGGACATGTTTTTTTTTTTTTCTGTGTAGCAGTATGGTACAAACTGTCCTTATCCATGTTTCTGATTTTGTCTGTGCGGTAGTGATTAATACAGTACAGATCTTCTCTGTGGATATGCATCAGTATAGCACTGATTGTGTGTCTGTGGCTATGTCTCTGCTTACATCAGTGTTGTCTGTCTGTGCATTGGACTTGGAAGTCAGCAGATGGTCACCTACTAGCAAAGTGAACATCCACCTTTAGTATTTCAACCCCATTTTGTCCCTGTGAACATGTTTCTCATCTGTTTGTATTGTACCTTTGCTCACATTTCTAGTTACATCAGTGGGGTAGGGATTGGGTCAGCAGACATGTTTATATAGCTGGGTTGATTCCCTACTGATTGTATGCCTTTAAGGTCAGTGGTTCTCAACCTTCCCAATGCCGTGACCCTTTAATACAGTTCCTCATGTTGTGGTGACCCCCAACCATAAAATTATTTACCCAGTAATTATAATTCATGAAGTGTCGTTTTACCTCCAATACTGCTGCTTTCAACACAGTAGCTGCTTTTAACAGAGTAGCTGCTTTCAACACAACAGCTGCTTTCTACACAGTAGCTGCTCTTTACACATTGGAAATATGTGTTTTCTGATGGTCTTAGGGGACCCCTGTGAAAGGGTCGTTCGACCCCCAAAGGGGTTGCGACCCACAGGTTGAGAACCACTGCTTTAGGTGCACATGACAAAGCATTCATTTTCTTCATCTATTTTTTTTTCTTGTGTTTCCCCAACAGTTCAGCCCCAAACAGTTGAAAGCAATGTAAACTGGCCTATTGTTTGAAACCTTTGGAAACTCCTGATGTAGATTGTCCATCTGTTAGCGTTTTTTTTTTTTTTATCATTCAGACTGTCCATCCATTGAGATTAGTAAAAGTAGATCTAAACCCAACCACTAATATTAACATGTTAATGTAATTTCTGTTGGCTTCAATATTTTTGAATCTGCAGCTTTTAATAAAAGAAATACATGGTTGTCTTGCCATGATGGTTCTTGTTCAAAACTTCCTGATGTGGGGTGATAGCTGTTGCCCATTTTTGTTCCTGCTTTGTCGCCCTGACACAAGTGCTTTTGGTGGCAACTGCAAGTAACTATGCTGGCGTGTATTGCGCATGCTTGTCCCACTGTTGTCACTATCAGAAATCCAGTCCAGAACAATAATGTACAGCCAAAACTGACACAAGTACATGTGGATTAGTCCGGTTACCCTTCACTAATAAAGTTTAAAACAAAAATGTAATAAATTTCCACTTACCAATCCTTAGATGTGGTGGCTGCATTAGTTTTAGTTTTCCTTTTTAAGCTTTATTTCCTTAATTTTCACATGTTGATCTGGCCCGTAACACAATTCTTATCTTATGGTGGCTACCAGGGTGGATTTGATTTAAATCAAACTGATTTAAATCACGATTTAAATCACTAGTCAGTAAGGCTTGATTTAAATCCTAGTTTTCTACATAAAGACTAATTCTTGCTGGTATAACTTTAATATGCAAGTAGATGAAGATTTTTAGAATAACAACTTTTCATATTAGTTTTTTTTATCCCCAGTTTAATAGGTTAATCATTCATATTTGGACAACTTTTCTCTCGTACTTAGGAAGGAGAAAAATAATCATTACCTTAATAATAACAATTTAAATAGATTTATTCAACTGAAACAATAATATTCCAGCATATGTGATTTGCTTAAACATCCATGTTTGTTAACTAATTTGGCTAAACAAAATATATATATTTTAAGAAACTTAGACTGTCAGCCCCTTCCTCCTCACACTTAGTTTCACTTTCTTCTTGTGCAGATCTATTCCACTCCAAACTATCAGAAAAATATTGTTTCTATTCTATTCACTGAACTTCTTGAAACTTAGCAGTGAAGGGGTTGATTCTGTATTCATAGGTTTGTAGAAGTTAGGATGAAGGTCTTTTTCTTAACTCTGTTCATGTTATAACATTTTTGCTGTGAAGAAGAGGCATGTGATCTCCGCTGAGTCAAATTCAGTTTTGAGAAGTGCAAAAAGTAAACCAAGCATCTGTGATAATATCTTGTAGGCAGGGAAACTGCCCAATAATCTTACAAAAACCTCTGGAAGAGTATGACATTGTGAATGGATTCATGGAATTTATTTACCAAAAAAATGAAACCTATACAGCCTTATTCTACATAATTAAAAAACTAATCTTTATTTCATGATGGAATAACCTTTGAATGGTAATATATTTTCCTCAAAAAGCATTTTATTTAAAAAAAATCCGATTTAAATAAAAAAAATCCGATTTTTTTTTTTTGATTTTTTAAAAAAAATCATTGATTTTTATCCACCCTGGTGGCTACACTCCCTCCTCCACTGTACCTATAAAGCAGCAGCATTTTCAACCTGTAGAGTGGGGTAGTGTTCGAAGTAGATTTAGATGCACTTTACGTAAGTGACAAACAAATTAAAGCCCAACTCCTGCTAACACTTTTTAAGTAGTTACATCAACAGTTTTTTCTCCTTTTGGAATAAAAGTTTACACTAAATAAACGCTGATCATTGTAAGCACCCTGTCAGTGTTACCGTAAATGGTTTGCCTCAACAATCTAACTGCCACTTTTGCTGGACACCTTGGTCTGTTAAAGGAACGTCTTTGGTCACCTACAGGTTAACTCCATTCAAAAGTGAAAAAAAGTCTTGAGATGTGTAAGGAGAACTCAGCCTTGCTGCTGCTAGGATTTAATTCTCTTTTTTTCATTAAGTGCACTAGTCCACCCTGTTCCCTTTTGTCTGTAATATAGGTATTCTGGGACTTTCCTCCTTCAGACAATGAAAATATCACGGTTCCTTCTTACTTATAACACACAGCTAGCGTGATGTAAAAAATAAAAACAATTCCAGAACAGAGAAGTTTTTTACAGCCGTCAATCAGATAGAAACCTGAACGTGAAGTCTTAAGGACGTATATGATACAGCATTTAAGCGGAGTCCATAATACTCACCTTCACTCCAATGGTCAGATGTCTGTGAGGTCCCTGACCGGTGTTGGCATACTCT